GAGATTTGGAATCTGGTGATAAAGTCTGCCTTCTACAAAAATCTCTTTACGGTCTGAAACAGGCGGGTCATCAATGGAATAAAAAGATCACTGAAATTTTGAGAAATCTGGGATTTATTCCAAATGAAGCTGATCCATGTGTATATCATCGCATTCGAGGAAAGAATTACTTGATTATTTTGGTGTACGTGGACGACATCCTTGTCTTCTACCGGATCGAAGCTGACTTGAAATATCTTCTTTTGGGACTTTCGAAGGAACTTGATGTCAAGGACCTTGGAGCTGCTGCGTACTGTGTCTGACTCGAAATCTGCAAAGAAGCTGATCGCATAACTATCTCACAATCTGGTTATGTACGCGACATTCTGAAACGATTTGGAATGGATGATGCAAAAAGCGTCTCTACCCCCATCGAAGCTGGAACCAAGTTTACGAAGGACGACATCAACGAAGACAACGAATCGAAAAGAAAACCTTATCGGGAATTGATTGGAGCGTTAAATTATCTCGCAGTCGCTACACGCCCCGATATATCCCATGTCGTGAGCTGCTTAAGCCAATTCAACGATTGTCATCAAGAACAGCATTGGAAATCAGCAAAAAGGGTGCTCCGTTATTTGAAGGGAACGTCGAATCTCGGAATCATCTACGAGAGGAATGGATCACGACTTTTTGGCTATGTCGACGCTGACTGGGCTGGATGCCCCATCGATCGACGGTCCTTCACTGGATTCGTTTTTCTGTTAAGTGGTGGACCCGTGACCTGGGAATCAAGAAAACAACGAACGGTTGCATTGTCATGTACAGAATCAGAATACATGGGATTGACCGAAGCCGCCAAAGACGCCTTGTATCTGAAAAAGTTTTTATCAAGTTTGAATTTCGACGATGCTCAAATAGTGAAAATAAAAAATGACAACCAGGGAGCTCAGCAATTAGCAAAAAATCAGGTGTTTCACGCCAGAAGTAAACACATTGACGTGAAACACCATTTCATCAGAGAAGCCTTGAAATCCAATCACATCGAGATCGAATATGTGCCTACAGAAATAATGGGAGCCGACATCCTCACCAAGGGTTTACTGAAGGGAAAACACCAACGATGCCTGCAGATACTCGGAGTGCAACCAGTGTAAATTTTTCTGAATGACGCTTCAGTCGAGGGGGAGTGTTAAGTATTTTTGAATTCTAGTGCAAGTGGCGCCTTTTTTGTTTTATCATGCGATTGAAGCGCCATCTTTATCAAGTACATTTTTGCGTCATTTTGACTATCTTTTTCAGTACGCTCTGAGAATTCATATCGAGCATTTTAATTCAGTTTGTAACAATATATTTTCAGTGTTCTCGTATATTGTGTTTTATTTTCCTCAATCTACTTAACACGTTGTACAATCGTTACACATTGGTTAAACATTTAGTTGGAGTGAAAATTGTGTAGAAACCCAAGAAGCACGTAATATATCCTCTATATCAAGGTAATATTACACGTGAGATTCGTAATATAACGCTGTAATATTACAGTAATCTTACAGTGATCTTAAAATGTCCACCTCAAGGTAATATTACCGGGAATATTACTGTAATATTAACGGTAATATTACAGTAATATTGCAGACTGATTTGAGTTATTCATAAAGCATAAAAAACGTAAATATATTATAAGTCAATTTGGCTTGTTGGTAAAACTCTGGACTTGTGTGCTTTGAGTTCGGGATTCGATTCCCTGGATGGGTAGATTTTTTTCGTAAATAAATGTTCCCATAATATTACTGTAATATTCTCTTGTAATATTACCTTAATATTACGGTATAATATTACTGCAATATTACTGTAATATTACCTTAATATTAGCGCGTAATATTACAGTAACATTACCGGTAATATTACCTTGAGTTGGACATTTTAAGATCACTGTAAGATTACTGTAATATTACAACGTTATATTACGAATCTTACATGTAATATTACCTTGATATTGAGGTTATATTACGTGCTTCTTGGGAACTGAGTGGAAACTGTGGAAAAGTGTAATTGAATTGAATAATAAAAGTATTTAGTGATAGATTTGTGCTGTATTTGTGATAAATTAACGTGTTATTATTAAATAAATAAAGTTTAAAGTGTAAAATGTTCGCGTAAGTGAGTTTGACAGGCTAGGGAAATTTCTAGTGACATCCAACTTGATAGTCGATAAAGAAGTTGAGCCGCCGACTTTGCACGGTAGGTGGCAGCATTCATACTTTCGCCTTTTTAAAAATTCTCTTTTTCAATTGTAAATAGAAAAATTAATTAATTAATAAGATATATAGTTTCTATGTTGTCATTTTTTTTAACAATTGAATTTTTGAAGATTGTTTAATGAGATAAATTAAACTTGTATAATAATCGATGCAAATTGTTGTTTTTTAATTAAATTCAATTAAATTAATTTAATCATAATTTTAATAACGAAAACTTTTTTTATCTTTCTTTATTTTATTATTATTTATTTTTAATATAAATGTAATTAAAAGAAAAGATTTATTTAAAAGTATTTTAAAAACAACAATTTGCATCGATTATACAAGTTTAATTGATCTCATTAAACAATCTTCAAAAATTCAATTGTTAAAAAAATGACAACATAGAAACTATATAACTTATTAATTAATTTTTCTATTTACACTTGAAAAAGAGAATTTTCAAAAAGGCGACAGTATAAATGCTGCCACCTACCGTGCAAAGTCGGCGGCTCAACTTCTTTATCGACTATCAAGTTGGATGTCACTAGAAAATTCCCTAGCCTGTCAAACTCACTTACGCGATCATTTTACACTTTAAACTTTATTTATTTAATAATAACACGTTAATTTATCACAAATACAGCAGAAATCTATTACTAAATACTTTTATTATTCAATTCAATTACACTTTTCCACAGTTTCTACACAATTTTCACTCCAACTAAATGTTTAACCAATGTGTAACGAATGTACAACGAATTCAGCGTACATTCCTATTTCGAGATCCGCCAGGTAATACAAAATTTAATAAAATTTACAATGGCGTTATAAAATTTAAAAATCCTAAAGCAATTTCTATTACATCTGTAGCAATTTTTAAAAGTGACCACTGTAATAATTACTATTAGTAATTTTTACTACCAGAAATAGTATTATTTACTTATGCGAAGTACATTTTACAGCAATTAATAGTAATTTTTAGTAGAAAAGTTTAATTATTACTATTCCATAGGAATTTTTACTAGAACCTCAGCACCATTTTTCTCCGTGTATGTAGTAACTTCTAGGGATCATTTAAGGATATTGTACAGGAATTTTTAGCTGGTTAAGCTTTAAAAACTTCTCGCGTTCTTTTTGATTGTCTTGTTATCTATGTCAGACGGAATCAAACTTCTTCTGCTGCTGACAGTAGAGATGCTTGAAGCGTTTTCATGGGGGAACTTAAATCTTAAGAAACTGAGAGCCCCACTGTAAACGTCTTTACTTAAGAGCATTTGAACCTTCGTGACGTCACAAATCATGGCGCATGACACGCAAACTTCTCAGGTATGTGAAAAGCACAATTTTGAATATTTTTTAAAAAAACCTTTTGGAAAATGTTCAGAATAACATAGACTCTGTCTGTTATGTGCGGAAAATTCAAAATTTTGCGATTAAAACGTTTTTTAAACAATGTTAAGGTCACAAATCATGGCGCATGACACGCAAACTTCTCAGGTATGTGAAAAACACAATTTTGAATATTTTTTAAAAAAACCTTTTGCAAAATGTTCAGAGAAACATAGACTATGTCTGTTATGTGCGAAAAATTCAAAATTTTGCGTATAAAACGTTTTTTAAACAATGTTTAAGTTGGTTGTCACAAGTAAGGAAAAATACACGAATTGCTTATATGTAGGCATTGTTTAAAAAACGTTTTAAACGCAAAATTTTGAATTTTTCGCACATAACAGACATAGTCTATGTTTCTCTGAACATTTTCCAAAAGGTTTTTTTAAAAAATATTCAAAATTGTGTTTTTCACATACCTGAGAAGTTTGCGTGTCATGCGCCATGATTTGTGACCTTAACATTGTTTAAAAAACGTTTTAAACGCAAAATTTTGAATTTTCCGCACATAACAGACAGAGTCTATGTTATTCTGAACATTTTCCAAAAGGTTTTTTTAAAAAATATTCAAAATTGTGCTTTTCACATACCTGAGAAGTTTGCGTGTCATGCGCCATGATTTGTGACGTCACGAAGGTTCAAATGCTCTTAAACATTTGCTTTCTATATCTCTTTTCCCCCTTACCTTACATTTTGGTTTTTGGATATCCTTTAGTGAAAAGCCCCACCACCACGACAATGTCTACCAAGAATAGAGGTTTATCAATGGAGGTCCACTACCAAGAATTTTCTAACTTCTTGGTAGTGGACCACTACACTATGCGACAAAAAAATGTTTAACTTAATTTTTTTGTTTTTTTCGCTAAAACTAATTAAAATAAGAATACCATTTACTGGATTTCTTGATATTACAACCCTTTTACTTTTTTATGCGTTTATAGGTCTCAAAAACATGTATATTAGCATATTTCAAAGTTTTAGAACTATACATACTACAAAAGATTTTTTCGTGTTTTATATTAATTTTTTCATCTTTTATATCTGTTAATCAGATTCTGTAAATAAGTTTGTGTATTAGTCTTTTATGTTCATTGCTACACAACATTTTCCCTATCCTTTAATGGAGAAAAGCGGTTTCTCAGAAATAAAATTGTTCACGTGATACTCACCAAATTGAATGAGAGTCCAAAAATTTCATAGAACTATGAAAGAAAAGCAATTCTTTTCAAATCGGCAAAGTTTTGACTCTAAGGGTGTAAATTTTTAAAAATTTAAAGTGGCGGATCTAATATGGCTAATAAAAAAATTTTTTGGTTGATATACTACTATCTAGTTTACTCTATACAGTTTATTACCATACTTTATTAACAAACATCAATTCTTTAATAGATGGTCCTTCAAGCAGTCATCTTCAAGAACTTCAAATTCCCATAGTTGACACGTATCAATGTCAAAAAGCTTTTAAGCAATTTAAAACATCAACAATTGATGAACGAACAATTTGTGCTGGTTACGCAAGAGGTGGAAAAGATGCATGTCAAGTAAGATTTTTTCAAAAAACTTACATTATTACTATAGAAAAATATAATATGTATTTATTTAACTATACACTAAATTGAAAACAATCCCAGATAACAATCGTGCGACGAACGTTAAGCACTTGACGTGCGAGTCAGTTAATGCGTGTCATAACGCACGCATGTCGCATTCACATAGTGATGGCTGCACTAGTGCATGTGCAGTAATTAATATTTGGGTTTCACTCATGCGAGTGGGTTCTCGCACGTGTGAAGGTATCATGTGGCTACGTAAAATAATACATAGACATTTCTCAAAGTTGTTTTATACTAGTTGGTTTGTATACACAGTATAGGCGGGTCTAGATATTTCATACAAGTCACCCCGTAAAATCTCCCGTGTTGAAAGTGTCAAGAATCTTGACTAAGCGCCGATGGTGGCACTGGTTGTTCTCTAGGCCGATGTATATAGAAAATACATTGAGCACATGGCTTCTTTACTAATAATAGTTGTTTTTTATTATTAAAATAATGGTGGAAGTTAATTTTTAATAATCTAATTACACTATTGCGTTTCGTGAGTTAAATTATAAATAAAATGGTGTATAAGTGCATATGCGTTGACTGCAAATCCGGATATAAGTCTTGCTCCGAGAAAACTCATTTTTTCTCTGTTCCAAAGGACAAAAAAAGTATCAAACAATGGCAAATTTCTATATTAAGGGATGACATAAAACTTAAAGGAGGTGAAGTGGTTTGCGAAAAGCACTTTCACCCTGAAGACATACTTTGGGAACGTAAACTCTACGGACCTGATGGTGTCACAATTGTAGGAATAGTAAGTACATGAATTCTAATTTGTGTTAATGTGTTTTGAATAAACGACTTTCCAAAAGGACAGCAATATTTCAAATAAAGAAAACAATACAATAATAAAATAACGAAATAGAATACGAAACATAAGCAGTAGAATGTAAATAAATGAAGTAAATTACAAAATAAAATATAAAACGAATTAAAAAATAAAATAAAATTTTTTCAAATATTACTTGTTTAAACAAATATAACATGTAAGATAAAATTTTTAAAAATACATTAAAAAAGTTTGTGCTATTTATCTTTAAATCCAATGTATATTTAATTTCTAAAAATGAATCTTTATTTTTTAGAGCCCTTACAAAAAACCTACACTTCGAAATGGTGCCTTGCCCTCTCTGCTATTAGGCAAACCAGAGAACCCGAAAAGCAGTATAAAGCGGAAAAACAGAACTGAGAACCCAGTAATTCCAAACAAAAAACAGAAAATAGATGAACCAGATAGCATAAATAAATTTGATGAGACTCAAAGTGATTTAAATTTTTCGAAAGAGCCATTTAATAGTTCCGAGAAACCAAATCAATCGGAGGATTTGGAGAATTCGGAAAGTATGGAGAATTTATTTAACCGTATTTATGAAAGTGAAAATAAAAGTTTTTCTTTGCCGATGTCTTGGGGAAAAACTAATTTTTCTTGGGGCAAAGATAATGAAAAGGCTATTTCATTTCACAAATTAATTGGCCGAAAAACTAATCAAATCGAGTCTCTTAGTGAAAGAGAGATAACAATAAATAAAAATATGACGTTTCTTTTAAAATTAAATGGTCGAAATATTGAGCCTGAAGTCTTTGGAATTGAAAATAATAATATCACGTCAATTGATATGTTGCAAGAGATAATAAAAAAATTAGATGAACGTAAAATTTATGAAGGTTGTTCAGAGGTCACAAGAAATTCCTCGACCAAGTACCTTTTGGATTCTTTTACCTCCATTGATAAATTAGATATTTTGCGACATAATGAGTGTTCTTTTGTAATGACGGTCGAAAGTGGTAAAAACGTTTCTTGTAAATGTTGTAAATCTGTTAAAAATTTATTAAAGAGGAAAATTATCCGTAGGCAACATGCTAAAGGAAAAAATTACTTAAAATTACAATACTTAAGTCCGAGAAGGCAGGAAAAAATTTTAAAATTAAAAAAACAAATGCTGTCTCAATCAAGAGCTAAGCAGCGGTCACAAATAAAAAACCGTTTGCTAAAACAAACTGTGGCTAAATGTCAAGATGAAATGGCAAATTTGACGGAACATTCACTCGGGATTTTGCTTGATAAGCATGAAAAATTTAGTACAAACGAGAAAACAACGATTAAAGAAATTTTGAAAGCTTCAAAAGCGAAAGGTCCAAGTGGTAGGCGATACTCCGACAATTGGCTTGTCTTATGCCTACTTTTACATATGCGTTCACCAGCTACGTACCGTTTAATTAGAGACTTAGAGATATTGCCTCTTCCCTGCGAAGGAACAATTCGAAAGTAATTATTCATTACAAAATATTGTATCTTAACATTATTTTATTTAACAAAATTTATTCTCGAACTGATTTTTTATATAATTTATTTTTAGGTATTTGTCTCAAATGGATTGTTCGTCTGGATTTGATCCTAAGTTTTTCGAAATTATCAAGGAATATTTTTCAAAAAAGAGCGGAAAAGAACTCCATGGTGTGTTGTTGCTAGACGAAATGTCAGTTAGAAAAAGTTTACTGCTTGATAAGAAATCAATGACATTTAAGGGAGTCGAAGATCTCGGAGACAATAGTTCTGAAAATACAGACATGAAATTGGCAGATCATGGCTTGGTCTTAATTTTCCAGTCATTATATGAGGATTTTTCACAGCCAATCGCAGTATTTGCGTCCAGCGGTCCTACAAAAGGTGACGAATTAGCCAAAATTGTATTGGAGGCAATAATTTTGCTGGAAAATTCTGGAGACAAAATTCACGGTGTTGTTTCCGATGGAGGTACTCCGAACAGGAAAATGTGGACCGTATTAGGCTGCAGTGGAAAATTTAATGAATTTAATAATTTTTTTCTACACCCTTTAAACGAAAAAAGGAAAGTCTTTTTTTCTGGGATACTCCTCACTTGCTGAAATGTATCCGAAATCGCTTGGCAAGTTCTGGGCAACTAAAAGTAAATTTCAATTATTTTTAAAAATGAAATGTTATTCTCTCTTAAAGATAAAAATAATAATAATATAATTATTTATAGATTTTTCCATCTGAGGATCCAATAAAGTGGGAATATTTTGCACTTTTATATGAATTAGATAAATGGCAACCAGCAAGTGTAAGATTATGTCCAAAGATTACTGATAATCATATTAATATATCAAAAAAACCTTTTCTAAAAATGAGAGTGTCTTTAGCTGTTCAAGTAAGTATTATTGTTATGGATAGTTTACGCATTGAAAAAGAAATAAAACTGTTGACTAATTTATGCAATGGATTTGTGGTCGTATAGTTGTAATATATAACTATTTTTTTATTAATAATAATAATTGTTAATGATTAAAGGTTTTCAGTAAATCAGTTGCCAGGGGTTTAAGATTTTATAAACCTTATGAATCAAGGCTTGATCACAGCGAAAGCACGGCACAATTTTGTGAAAAAATTAATGATATGTTCGACGCTCTAAATAGAACGTGGAAGAATAGCAAGACAGGACTTATACTTGATTGTGAAGATATGAAGGTGTATATTTTATTTCTAAAATTTTTTATTTATATAAGTTACATAAAAATCACACAGTTCCATCCTGCTCAGTTATATTTTGGCAGGTTTTAGAGAATTCTTTAGCATGGCTGAATGCTTGGGAAGCACGAGTTACTGACGGTCTCCTAAATCCTGAAGACTTCCTAACAACTGACACTGCCGAGGGACTTAGAATGACTTTGAGCTCTACGATAGATATTTCAAAATATTTAATTAAGGATTTTGAAGTGGATGTAATTTTTACAGGACGAATAAACCAGGATTCTCTGGAGGTACATTCATGAATATACGTAAATAATGTTTAAAGAAGTCAATTTGTATATATAAGAAAGTTGTGTGCTCAAATCGTAAAGAAAATTCATCAGTGATCGTCACTGAATTAATTATCGTCATTTTAAAAAACTATTTTCTGCAAAATATTTTTTATTAAAAAAATAAAATAAAATCAGTTAACTATATATGAGTAAAAATAGTACTTAGAATAAAATGTTTATATCTATTAAAAATTAAAATTGATTGTCATGATTTTAAGTTAATATTTTAATAACAACAATATATTGTTGTATACATAATCAATTTTTATTTATATCTACTAAATATTTTTTATTTTCATAAAACAAATTGGAAAAAAATTATATTTTGTATCAATGGATTTTTATGAGTTTTACTCGATGAATACTGATAACGATAAATATATTTATAAATGTAATTTTTATAAGTTCTCCATTACTTTTTAATAAAAATATAAATTTTTACAAAAGATATAGTTGCTTAATATAATCATGGTCATTTTCCTAATCCTTTTCTGGAATATTCCTGTCTTTTGTAGAGATTTTTTGGGACGATACGATTCGCTGCTGGGACAAATGATCATCCGGCTACTCCAACTTTTCTTCAAATTTATAAAATTTCGACGTTCTTTAGCATCTTAAAACCTCCGAAATACGGAAATTGCTCAGTTCAAAATATCAAAGCCTCGGAACCGTTGATTTCTATGAATAAAATCAAAGAAATTTTTTTTTCAAAATCAAAAAAAAACAACTTTTATTGAAGAAATAAAAAACAAGCTTAATATAGTCATTAGCAATGAAGACGGAGATTTTCATGATTTTACCAACGCTGTAGATCATGATTATGATTTACCGCCTGTTATTGAATGCTTAATGTATTTTGTGACTGGAAAAGTTTGCAAAAACATTTTAGAATTCACAAAATGTGAGGTATGCCGAAGAGGTTTTTTTTATTCGGAAGAGCAATCAATTCAAATTGAAAATTATCCGTTTGCCAAAATTGTGACTCTGAACCATGAAGTAGAAAATGACAACGGAATTTTGCACCCTAATCGACGATTATTTTATTTTTTAACAAAGATCGAAGCTTCATTTACGACTCACTGCAAAGGGAACCATGTTTTTGAATTAGTAATAAATGA